ATCCTTTCTTCATTTCCACTGCCTGTCTCTGGAGGGTGCTTCTTGATCTCAGACTTGTCAGTGACAGGGTTATCCCCTAGAATCCTCATGCCACGGGAAGTGTTTGGAGGACCCAGAGGAAGACAGTGGGCTACTTTGTTACAGGCTTGAACCATGAGTCCTCCCCCTCCCAGGAGGTTCTCTGGGACAAGGCTTCCTGCCACCTTTTCCAAGGTCGCAGGCCCTGGCGCGGAGACAACTGCTGGCTGACTTCACGGTCTACTGGGCCATGTTGAGAGTCGGGAGTGGGGGCAGGAGACTTCCCCAAGGTCATTCAGAAAAGAGTGTCGGCTGGCCAAGGACATCCTGCCCACCAGGAGCAGCCTCAGTTTACCCTCCTGTCGGCCACAGGTTTCAGGAACCCATCCGGTGCACCTAGGCCCGAAGGGCTTCAGAATGGCGGGGCAGGGGGGCGGTACGCAGATGAGTGGAACAGGGAAAGTCCCCTCCAGGATGCTTCCTAAGGTGTAGCTGGGTTCTCCTGAGCGTGAGCGTGTGTGTGTGCGTGTGTGTTGGCTGGGGTGGGCAATCAAGTTCCTACCTCCTGTCCTCCTTCTCCCACCCCAACTGTGTCCCAGACCCTAGAGGACGCCAAACTGAGACCTCAGGAGAGGCCTCGTGCGCGGGGCAGACTGACGCCTCCCAGCATGTCCCGGTCTTGGACCCCGAGCAACATCCCGAGGCGGGGCGGAGGCAGGGGAGGCGGGGCGGAGGCAGGGGAGGCGGAGTTGCCTTAGGGGGCGGGGCCAGGAGGGAGTGGGGGCGGGTCCTGGAAGGAGTGGGGCGGGGCCAGCGAGGGGCGGGGCCAGCGATGGGCGGGCGTCCGCGAGCAAGCAACCGCCTCGCACTCCCCCGCGTGGGTCCCTGCGCCTCACAGGTAAGGGCGGGGTGGAGGTCGCGCTTCTGGGGCAGAGCCCTTCTGCTGTCCTCTCTCCTCGCTCCAGGTGAGACTTTAGTCTCCGCGCCCTCTTGGGCCGCTGCGCGCCGCCCCTCCACGACCGCTCAGTCCTCGGCAGCACTCAAGCTCGCTCGGGCCCGTCAGAGTTTGTCCGAAGGCCCCTCCCTCCCAGCGGGGTTCAGCTTCGTCCTCCCTGCCCCTTGGTCACCCTGTCACCACGGGACAGCCTCCCTGGTCCCGTGCCTGACAGGATGGCAGTGCCCAGGGACTTGGCCTGGGCTGTGGGGCGACCTCGTGGACAGTACCCAGCTTGAGGGACTTGGCGCCAGGAGGTGACGCAGTCTAGTGTTGCCACGGGGAGAATGGCATGGGCAAACGCCTGGTGACTGGAACAAGATCCCATGTTTGGGAAATTCCAGTGACTGTGTGTGCCTGGCCAGGGAGAGGAAGGAAAGCTGTGAAAAAATGCCACCAGGAAGATCGGAAGGGTGAGAGGTGGGGTCTAGGACAAGGTACCTGGAGCCACTGAGGCCCAGAGGGAGGGTGTAGGAGAGAGGCCCAGGTGGAGACTGGGACCTGTCAGCTGTGACAGCTCAGCGCCCCCTCCCTCGGGCAGCTCCTCCCTCCTCTCTCTGTCTACCGCCAGGAGCTTGCTGGATAATCAAGGTGGTTCCAAGGCAGCCCAGGAAAAAACCTCCACAGCACGCAGCACTTCCTTGGCTGGCCAGACCAGGAAATCATAGAGTACCGTGACAGGGTGTGGCCAAGGGGCCTGAGGGGCCAGGCCTTGGAGAAGGCAGGGGAGAAAGGGACCCAGCGTGGACAGAGGCCAAGAATGCGAGAGAGAGAGAGAGAGAGAGAGAGAGAGAGAGAGAGAGCAAGCGAGCCAGAGAGTGAGCTAGCAGGTCTGGCTGCTGGTTAGATAGCTGCAGGGACCGGCAGCTGACTCACCTGGGCATGCCAAGACTAGCCAGTCTTTCCTCACCCTGCCCCATGGTGAACGTGAAAGCTGCCTGGGGAGCCTAGGTATTTGCTCTGTGCCCTGAGGTGAGCCGTCTTTCTGAACTGCTAGCTCAAGTGAGCTTCATGGGACTGGGAGCTGGAGGCCTGGGTCTGAGCCATGTATGTGCTCTATAGTTAGTGTCTTTGGGCCCTCCCATTCCTTCCTGGGCCTCAGTTTCCCCATATGTACCTCCTGTGCAGACTCCTAAGGACCCTTAGAACTGGATGCAGTGAGAGGGTAAGAAGGCCATGCCCTTCACCAGCGAGCCGTGACTTGGTGATGGGACTAGTGTTTGAGGGAGGAGACTTCTGTGGGTCCCTGTGGTGTTAGGTTCAGCACCTCTTTCTCCTTACTTGTACACACTCCAGCACACTCATGTCTAGCCTGGCTCCTGCCCTCATATTTCATTGCCTCTAGGGTGAAGCCTGGGAGCTTCTTATCCTGGGAGCAGAGGCTCTTGGGGCTACCAGACCAGATGTTTAACCTCAGATGCAGTTTTCTCCCCACCCACTGCCTCACCAGCAATGCTTAACCTCTGGCCTTTCCTTTGGGCAATGTGACTCAAAGGTTAGAGATCCTTCTGGGGCCACAGACCTGGAAGGGTCCCGGAATAGTGTTGCCAGTCTGGGTCTGTAAGACTCAGCTCCAGGGGCCCCAGGATGCACTGAGACGTAAGGGAGGCTGAGAAACAGGTCCCCATACCCAGAGGAGCTCCCCTCCATCAGTGTATCCTTTCTGAAAGTGTTGGTCACTCGGTCATGCCTGACTCTTTGCAACTCCATGAACTGTAGCCTGCCAGGCTCCTCTGTCCATGGAATTCTCCAGCGAAATACTGGAGTGGGTTGCCATTCCCTTCTCCAGAGGATCTTCCCAACCAAGGGACTGAACCTGGGTCTCCTGTATTGCAGGCGGATTCTTTACTGTCCAAGCCACCGGGGAAGCTCCTTTATCCTTTCTAGGGAAGAAAAAAAAGTTGTGATTTAGTCAGAGTAAAAAACTGTAATTTAGTCTTCTCCATTTCATAGAGAAGGTGATTGGGACTCAGAGATGAGCAAGGCCCTGGATAAGCTGGGAAATGGCCAGGACTGGGCAGAGGTTAGAAGGGGGCCTGTGGGAGCTGCTGAGGTGTGAGCCACGCATCCAGGGTGAGGGAACAACTGGCAGCCCCATGCGGCAAGGGGAGGAAACCTGAGGGGGAGAGGAGCACCTCAAATGTGGCATTGGCTGGGGTGGGCCCCGCATAGTATCAGGGATCTGATGTTCAAGGCCTCCCACCAGTGAGTTATTTGCTGCAGGTCCCCAGCTCACCCTAATCTGGTCTCTAGTCTGTACCTCCTATCTTAAGCACACCTTCCCCCCTTCACTTTTAGCCAGGGTCCTCACCTGTCAGCTCTGACCCTGATAGACTTCCAGCCAAGGTTGGAAGGTCACCTTCCAAAGGGTCTTTCCATTCCACCAGTTTCTGGAGATGGGGGTGAGAGTCAGATGGGCCCAGACCACACTTGCTGCACCTCTGACTCCTAGGCTGGGCTCGCTTGGTCTGTCTGAGTTGACTTAGAGCAACCTTCCCCTAGTCCTCCAAAGCAGGCTGGGCTGCTGCAGGCCCAGCAGAAAGAGAAGAAGGCTGCAGCTGGGTGTCTAGTCATTTCTCCTTCCTGCCTCTCCCTCCCAAGGCCTCACCCTCCTGAAACAACAACAGCAGGAAAGGTGGGGCAGGAATGCCTGGGCCCATGGCCAGAGTTCTGAGACACTTGCCTCACTTTGTTGCCCCAGAGACAATTCCCTGGGAATCATAGGCTCTGCCAGGGGCCTGGAATACACTTCAGTGTCTTTGGGACTGTGGGGGGGGAGGTGATGAGACCCCTTCCCATTTGGTCTTTTGGGTCTACCTGCATTGCCTCAAATTATGTCTCTACTTCCACCCCTGTCAACCAACTCAGAGTGTCAGAGTTGGAGAGAGGCTGAGTCTGAGGGTCTGGGGTTAAAAGAGAATTTAATTTTCAATCCTAAGATGTATAGTCATGAAATCTGGGCAGATGACCTTGTTTTCCAGGTCTGATAGGAGAGGGCTGTGTCTGATTGGAGGCTGCAGCCTGGCTATGGTGGTGGGTTTGAACCTAGGCCCTTTGCTTCCTCTCTCTCCAGTCAGGAGGCTCCTCTCTCAGGTGATCCTGCCTTCTTGGTGGGTCCCTCTCCAGAGAAGGAGGTACAAAGAACTGCTCAGCCCCAGAGCCCCCACGTGTGGAGGAGGACCCGTCCTGCAGGATCGGCCAGGTAGGGAGAGTGGCAGGGCTGGCTCCTGCCCACGCTGACCTCACCCTCTCACTGCTTGGCATCGTCTCATCTGCTGCTGTCACCAAGTCCGCGTCCCCAAGTCTGACTTTGAATATCACCACTCCGCCACTCTGAGCCCCTCCACGGCTCCTCTGCCAGCCTCTTAGGCAGCTCTCAGTGGGCCCCCTGCCGAGCCTGGGTCTTCATGCTAGTGAGCCTTTGCTCATTCCCTCACCTGCATGCCTTGTCCCCTCTGCCTCTTTTATTTCTCGTTCATCCCCCATGCCCCAGCAGGGAGTCCCCTACCTCCCCAAGACCTCTTCTTGCTTACAAGGCCCTGTTGTTTGACAGGGGGTCCTGAGTCATGACCTGGAGAAAAAGGCTGTGTCCTTCTAACAGTATCCTTGTTTCCAGAGACTCTGGAGAGGGGGCTAGGTCAGAGCACTACTATGTTACTCTGAGCCCTTGGGAGCCATGGTGGGTGTTTGAGCAGGGGAATGAACAAGCCAGAGGGCTTAAGGAGCATCTGCCTTTTGGGTAAAAATAGATGCTTCCTTTGGCAATTCTGAGCCCTCTCTACGAGTCCTTCAGGCTCCCCTCAACTGGGTCCAAGTGGAGCATAAACAGGAGTCACTGGTCTGTTTAGAACTCCCCTTTGGGGTGACCTGGGCTCCCTGCTCAGTTCTGAGGCGGGGTGGTCATGAGCCTTGCTTTTGGGCTTATGGCCTGAGAGGAGCACTAACCATACTCCCACAGCTGCTCTAATCTGTGCTCTGTCCACAGGCCTGAGTCCGCCACCCTGGCTATGTGCAGCCCAGAGGAGGCGGCCCTGCTGCGGCTGGAGGGGTTTTTCTCAGACACCCTCACCCGCATCAACAGCCTTGTCCTCCAGCCCCTTCTTGAGGCCGGTGAGTTGAGGCTCTCCAGTGAAAAAGGTGGGGGCCACAGGAACCGTCCTGCTAGGGATAGGAGTCCTCCCTGGTTGGATCTTCTGAGCTACGGCTTTCTCAGCCGCAGATGGGAGCAGTGGCATTTGAAGTGGGTGGCTTTCGATGGGTCCAGGGTTCTCATGCCCAATTGTTGGCTGCTTCCTCTCAAAGGGACCCCGGGGAGTTAGGCTCTGAGCCCCATTCTAACCTAGGTCTGCTGTGCATGGAGATGATAGTCCATCTCTCCCAGGGCACAGGTCTGGATTCTCTGCCCAAATTCTCATCTTGCTCTCACCCAGGGCGTGACTGGAAGGCAGGATGCCTGGTCTGTGAAGTGACCTTAGGCAGGTGCCTTCATCTCAGGAGCTCTATTGGCATGTCTGTAAATGGCAGGGGACCACTGCACATTCTGGACCTGACGAAGTTCTGAAACTCAGGGACTGCGTGTACTTGGTGGCCACGGGTCATCAGTGCTGCCCCTATGTAGCGAGGAGGTGGACATGTGCCCCTGTTTAACCCACAAGGGTGCCGCCCACTGCTACAGCCTGCCTGTCCCTTGCTGAGCTCCAGGGGGCACGTGGGCTTCCAGTCCTGTCCCAAGGACCTCCAGGTCTCGCGGGGCTGCTGCCCCCCAGGTGCCCAGCCAGGGCGTGTGCGTGCTCCCCGGAAGGTGGAGCGGCCCTGTTCCCGCTCACGGGGTGCTTGCACTCCTGCCCCAGCTCCAGAGGCCTCAGACCCCTGGGGCCGGGAGTGCCTGCAGCTCCTGCAGCGGCTGCACAGGAGCTCCCGACAGCTGTGGGACGTGACGGAGGAGAGCCTGCGCTCGCTGCGGGAGAGGCTGCGCCGCCCCGAAGCCGTCGGCCTGGAGTCCCTGCTGCTGCTGCATAGCGCGGACCGTGTCCTGCAGGTCCACCTGGAGTAAGACAGTCCCAGTGGGCTGGGGGCTGGTGCTGGGACTCAACCTGGCTCAGGGCTTCAGCAAAGGTTTGAGCTCAGCCCTGGGGTTGGCTGTTAGCCTGGTGGCGGCTCAGACACCCCAGATCTGAGCCTGGTGACTTCCCAGGGAAGAAAGACTCTGAATTAGAATTGTCCAGTTGGGTCAGTGAGGACTCAAGATCAGCAGTGCCCAGAGCCAGGCCCTCAGGGTTGTAGCCACTCAGTGGGTAGGATCTAGGAACCCCAGAAGGGCAGGCCCTTGGGTCTGGAGCTGAGGGTGGGGCCTGCAGGGTGTCCCCGGTGCTACTTACAGGTACCTTGAGTCCTACGCATGCTGCGTGGCAGTGCAAGCCTTTCAGAAGGCAGCAAAGAGGAGGAGGTGAGCACAGGGTCCTTTGGTGGGCCTCTGAGTGGGGTGTGTCTGGGAGGGAGGACTTGGGGAAGCCACGCCCCAGAGCAGTGAGCGTCATGCCCGGGACTCATCCTGAGCACTCCTGGCTCTGGCAACCCCACGCTGATCCGCACCCCTGAAGAGGGGCAGGGAAGCCTCGGGAGGCTGTGAGCAGAAGCCAGACACAACTAGCGGGAGTGACCCTGGGGCAGGGGAGCATTCCTAATTCCTACTCAGGGAGGGCTGTTGTTATCAGTGATCCCTTCAGTCTCTGAGATGCTGCTCCCAAATCTCAGCCGCTGTTCTCATGGGAGAGAACTTTGGGGTCTGGGATTGGTCCTGGGATCTGAGCGATTAGCCAGGGCAAGGAGGCAATGGTGGTGGGTGCAGGAACAGAGGAGGGGAGAGTGACGGGGTGCTTGGCCCTCTCTCCACCCAGTGAGTACTGGCGGGGCCAGCGGAAGGCACTGCGGCAAGTCCTGTCAGGTGTGAGCTCCGAGGGCTCGGTGGGCACGGCCCTGCTCCAGGCCCTCCGCCAGCCACTCGCCCATCACGTGCAGCAGTACGTGCTCCTCCTGCTGAGCCTCGGGGACACCATCGGGGAGGTAGGTAGCAGGGTTGCAGGGGGCAGGAGGCCAGGGCGGTATCAATACTTACCAGACCTGCCTCTGCGAGGAAGCTGACAGATGGGAGAAATGGGCCTCTGGCTCAGGGAACCTGCCTTACTCAGAAACTCCTTGTTTGAAAAGGACCTGGCCTGCCTTGGGGACATCATCTTGTTCTGGGGGTTTGAAGGGCCATGTCCTTGCCCTGGGGTATCTGAGTTACATGGACCTGCCCTGGCGGAGCCAGCAGAGACCCAGGGAGCAAATGTAGACTCATGTGCTGGGTGTGAAGACATGTGGCCCAGGCCTAGGTGGGGCATCATTGGATGGTCCTGAATCCCTGGAGGCATCTTCCTGCTGACCTCTCCTTGGAAGGAGAGCCAACAGGGTGAAAAGAACAAACCCCTGACCAGCTGGGCCAGGGCAGGGCTGGGGCAGTCGTCCCAGAGTGGGGGACGGTTCTGATGAGCTCCCGCCCCGGTGGCTCTGTCCCCCCACAGCGTCACCCCACCCGGGAGCTGGTGATACACGCCGCCGGCCTCTTTGGGGACTTGCAGTCCTTCATGAGGCAGGAGCTGGACCAGGCCACAGCCACGCAGGCCCTCTGGTCCACCCTGAGTAGCCGGCTGAGGGTGAGTTCCACGCCTGAAGGGCGCTCTGAGAAGCCCTTCCCATCCAGCAGGGGCCCTCTGGGTGGCTCAAGCTGCCTGCTGCATTCTCCATGCTTCAGTTTTCCCACCTGAACAGGGCAGTGGCTAAAGCAAGTGTCTGTGACATTTCTCTGTCCAGCCATCCTCACGCATTTATTGAGCCACTCCTGGGCTGGGATGTGAGCTGCTATCTCTGGAAGAGCGGTTACAGAACCGACGCCCTCTGCCTTGGGGACATCATCTTGTTCTGGGATGTCACTGAATGATTGCACCCTCCAGCCACTGCCTATAGTGCCCCTACCTGGGGGAAAATCCCGTGTGCTCTGACAAGGCATGACAGGCTGGGGCCTAGAGCAGAGAATTAGGAGGAGAAATGAAGGGGATAAGAACTGCCCGAGAGAGGCGGGGGTCGTAGAACCCTGGGTGAGAGTTGATGGGGGCTTGGCTGTGGCCATGGCCTGAGATGGGGCGGAGGAGGACAAAGCAGGGCTTCAAGAGATGTTGTGACGTCTTGCTGGGAGTAGCCAGGGATGAAGCCCCACCAGCTCAGAGCCCCAGTGCCCATCACTGACCTGGGGGCCTCCAGGTGATGCTCAGAGTGTGGGCAGAGGTGCCTGGGGCAGAGGCGGGCAGTGGAGTGGCTGGTGCAGTGTCGAGGACGGGGGTCCCTGAGCTTTGCAGTTCCCTCCTTGCCTCACCAGGATGTGCTCTGCACCCCTGCTCGCCGACTCTTGCAAGACAGCCAGGACATCCCCGTGACAGTCACCCCACTGCGGGCAGAGCGCGTGCTGCTTTTTGATGATGCCCTCGTCCTGCTGCAGGTGGGCTGGGGCAGGCCAGAGGTCTTGGGAGTGGTTGAAAAAAGGAGGAAAGAGACAAGTGGCTGGGGGAGATGAGGGGGCTGAGGTGTGGAAGGGGTGCTCCTTGCCCATCCAAACCTATGTCTCCTGAGGCCTGGTTTGGGGGTTTGGATGCAGTTTGAGTTTCCCTCCACCCCTGACTTTCCCTCTGTGCTCCGGGTACACTGACAGGACACTCACTAAAAGTCGCCGAGCCCTTTCTCACCTCTGGCCCTGGGCATGCCCTGTTGTCTGTGTGGGACCCTCTCTTGTCCTTGCCCATGTCTGGCACACTCCTCCTCCCCTTGAGGCCTGGGCCTGGAGCCACTTCCTCCTGTGGCTATTGCCAGGCGGGAGAGGTCACTACACAAGATCTTCCAGAGGAAGGGGAGGCTTGGTCTGACTCTTAGAGCTGGGATGACGTTCCAGGTAGAAGGAGCAGCACAAGCGAAGGTTCAGGCTGAGGAGAGTTTGTGGCAAGTGCAGAAAGGAGGGGGCACGTGACCTGGGGCTGTTCTGTGTGGTCTCAGGTGTCAGGCTCAGCAGTAGGGACTTTAGGGAGGTTTCCAGCAGGGGCTCACAAGGTCCATGCTGTATTTCCGGAAGACCACTCTGGTGGCCCTGATGGAGCAGGACATGGGGGGTTGTGGGAGACTGATCCTGGGTCTTGGATGGGAAGGGGGGTGGAGGGGCTGCCCTGGAGATGGGAACAGGCAGAGGTGGTGGGGGACTCAGCGCTGGGCATGCTGAACTGAGCAACCTGGGGACACCCAGGGGCATGCTGAGCTGGTGCTTGGGAGCAAGGCCAGACCAGAGAATAGGTGAGCATCTTGCCCACCTATGCCCCATCTTCTTTCAGGGCCACAACATCCACACCTTTGATCTGAAGCTGGTGTGGGTAGATCCTGGGCAGGACAGGTGAGCACCCCTCTCCAGTGACACCTCAGGCCTTCCCTCCCTCTGCTCCATGGAACCTGCCCACCCCAGGGCTCTGACTTGGACCTTCCCCCAGCTCCCTTCTGAATAGAACTGAATAGAACCTACTTATCACCTCCATCTGTCTAGGTGCACGTTTTACCTCCTCACACCTGAGGAAGAGTTCTCCTTTTGTTCCAAGGACCCGCAGGGCCTGGTGAGTGTGGGTGGACTGTGAGTTCGGGGACTAGGATTGGGGGAGTAAGGGAAGGCGACAGGAGGGTTGCAGCACAAGTATACTGCCCTGGAGGCTCCTTGGGAATGTCAAGCCTCTGGAGTCATGGTCAGAGTGAGTCAGGTGTCTGCCTGGGCTCAGACGTCAGACTGCCATAGAGAGCAGGTATTTTTCTCTGTGAAGCCAGGGTTGGGGCCTGCTTGATGGTTTTGTTTGGCCTCTCTGGGAAGGCCCAAAACTGCAAGTATCTCAGGTCTGGATGAGGCTCTAGGGAGCAGTGTGGAACTGTTCCCCAGGTGACAGAGTGAGGTGTGGGGGGTTGGTACCTGGAGCCACCCCAGGAGACTTCCTGGAGGAGCTGCCTCCAGCAGCAGTGACCTGTCCTGTGTTTCCCCTGTCCTCCCCCAGGTGGTCTGGCAATGGAAGGTTACCCAGGCTGTGTGCCAGGCCTTGCGTGGGAAGAAGGACTTCCCGGTGCTGGGAGCGGGCCTGGAGCCTTCTGAACCTCCCACCTGCCGCTGTGGAGCATACACCTTCCGTGCAGAGGGCCGCTTCTGCCAGGCCACTTATGAGGGCGAGTGGTACTGGGGCAGGCCCCATGGCAAGTGAGTGACTGAGGCTCTGGGCCAGGCAAGGCAGGGGTCCTCCTGGGAGTCTGGGGGGCACATAGGACCCAGATGGACCTTATTGCCTCAGGGCATGAAACAGAGGCTGTTACCCTCTCTGGTCAATTCTGTTTCCCCCACAAAGTCTCTCAAGTCCTCCTGGACAGCACTGGCCCATAGTAGGTTTGTGCCAGATAGTCTTGATGTCGGTGAGGCTGGTGAGCTAGGGATAGGCATCAGGAGACTAGACTTCAGGGCCCGCAGTTACTGTTCTGTTCTCAAGGCAGGTGAAAGAATAACTGGTGTCTGTGTAGCATTTTCTGGCGGCCCTTACAAGAATGGCCTGAGGGAGTGTTAGCATGCCCTTTGTAGATCCAGAAACCATGACTTTCTCCAGGCCTCAGGGTAGGGTCTATGGGAAGCCTGGCCTCAACTGCAGATCTATATGACCCCACAGGCAGATAGGCTTTTGAAGAATGTGGCCCTAATTTGTGCCACAGCTGGCGAAACCAAGGCCCTGAAAGCAGAAGGGACTCGCCAAGGTTACACTGGCAAGCATTCCACTCATTTCTGGTACCCTGCCTACTTCCAGAAAGGGCTTCAGGAAGCCTTTGAACAAAAACAGAAAAAGCAGTGCCGTGTCAGAAGAGGAGATGAGGATGGTAGAAACCCCACTGACTCCTAGTGCTTGGCTTGAACTTGAAGGTTAGCTCTGAGCTTGCTGTTGGTCAAGGGAACAAGGCAACCTGGATGCTTCCGGAACTTCCCCTGCTGGGTATAGAGTGCCCTCCGTGAGGCTGCGGGGGCAGCTGTGCCAGGAGTAGGAAAGGGCCGAAAGCCCATTCAGGGTCGTGGAGCTCAGGGAAGAGGCCCTGTGGGAGCAGAGAGTCCAGCCCAAGGGCGATCGAGGCCTCTGAGAGAGTGTACGGTGGAGGCCAGCTGGGGGACTTGTGTATGCTGAAGGATGTCTGGTGGACCTGACGCCCATGGGCCTGATGACTGTGGACCTTGACTGTGTTCCAGGGGAACCCTGAAGTGGCCAGATGGGCGGAATCACGTGGGAGATTTCTGCCAGGGCCTGGAGCATGGGTAAGGCTGGGGCTGACACGGGGCTACGTGGTGGGGGTTCCCACCCCATCACTGTCACCAGCCTGGCCCCACCCTAAATTCCCAAACCTCCAGCAGAAACTTGGAGGCCGTCTGGTCCAGCCCTGCTCATTGTCGTAAGGGGAAACTTGGCCCTGAGAAGAGGGCAGGTCATGGAGCGAGTGGTCTAGGGCCAAAAGGCCCTCTCAGGGTGCATGGGGATGGGGTGGAGGTGGGTGGGGTGTCCTGAGGGGCCCTTAGGAAGAAGAGGGACCTGATCACCTGTAAGATTCTCCTCATTGTCTGCGAAGGCCCCTCGGAAGCAGGGACACTCCTGGGTATGGAGAGGCTGTGACAGGTGTCTCAGGCCGTTGGCCCCAGTGCTGACCTCCCTCCCTGCCCACCCACACTGGCAGCTTTGGCATCCGCCTGGTGCCCCAGGCCTCCGAGGATAAGTTTGACTGTTACAAGTGCCACTGGCGGGAAGGCAGCATGTGCGGCTATGGCATCTGTGAGTAAGTGACCCTCATCTGATGGGGGGCAGCCTTGTGGGCTGGGCACATCCTCTGGGAGGCAGGGCCAGCCATTGGTGACCTCCTCAGGTACAGCAGCAGCGAGGTGTACAAGGGCTACTTCCAGGAGGGCCTGCGCCATGGATTCGGGGTCCTTGAGAGCGCCCCACAGGCCCCTCGGCCCCTCCGGTACACAGGCCACTGGGAGAGGGGCCAGCGGAGTGGCTACGGTGTTGAGGAGGACAGTGACAGGTGAGCACCCTGCAGGCCCCCAGCAGGATTGAGGGGAAGAGAGGACCCTCACAGACCAAGTGCCTCCAGGCATGGGTTCCCTGTCATCAGTGGGTCTGTTCTGTCTGTCCCCCAGAGTCCTTCTGAAGCCCCTCACTTTTTTTTTTTTTTTTTTTTGCA